AAGAAATATCGATGCGATTGACGAAGCAAGCAGTTGTGCGAATGTTGCAAAGAGGCTTTGATATCCATCATTATCAAGCAGGAAAAAAAATATATTCTTATCATGCTATATAAAATATAAGTAAAAAAAACACAATAATTCTATGCAAAACAATTAGATAAAAAGAAAGAAAACGATTATAATCTGTAAGTCATTGTCTGCGTTATGTTTACTCTCGATGGTCGTTCTTTAAAAATGCTAATTCGTGGTTTTTTTTTTCTTCTTTTTTAGATGTTTTATATATCACCCTAACGAATACACATGTGTTAATTAGGCAGCTGCACCCTTAGGACCATAGAGGTCAGACGATCAAATTCAACAAATAAATAAAATCCATTGTAATGAAAAAATAATCAATGATATAGACATTTTTCATCGATTATTCAGACTATTTTCGATTAAAGCTGATTTAAAATTGTGAAATAGAATCATGTTTAATCTATTTCGTGTGCTTATAAGCAGTAGAATTTTAATCCCGTTTTAATTGTTTTTGATTAATTACAAGCGATTTTTTTTGTCATTATGAAAAATAATTTAAAACAAAATTAATCAGAATAATCGATAAAACTTGGATACTTTTAATTATTCTTTAATTCTTATCGATTTGAAATCGATTTTTCACATAAATTTTTTTTTTTCTGTGGGTGCAAGAAGATCATATCAGAGTCGAAAACAAACAAGAAAAAATTTAATCTTATGCTCTTTTTTTTAGCAAACTATTTATTATTGTATTTTCTGCGTCAATCATGTTTTTTTTTATATTTAATCGATTCATACATATTCTCAAGGATTATTTATTTGTTTAAAAGATAATATAGAATAGAAAGTAGATTTTAAACAGTAGAGTTTACTGATAAAAGTTTGATATTAATGAATTGGCGAACAGTTATGTCATTGATATTTGAAAGAACAAAATTTCATGAATTGAGTGCATCTATCAAAATTGGATGAGAAAGAATAAGTTGTTATAAGAAAACCAATAGAAAGACTTTATAATAAAAGGATAACAAATCTTTTCAGTAAAAAACCTTTATTTGAAAGAAATAAGTTATAGGGATGCAAAAGAGATAATAGACACAAATGACTCAAAAATCTCGAAATTATTACAAATTTACATTGTTTTTCTAAAATACGTATATCATTAAAATTAAAATATCTTTTTATTATTAAACTCATCATATCAGAAGATTCGTATGAAACTGTAAAGTCTCAACTCTAAAGAAATTTGTTGAACCGATCAAAGGGTATTTAAATTATAGTATACGTATGTGTCATTTGATCACATATTCGTAACTAACACTTCTGTTTACAATGAATAGAAGAACTTTTTTTTTATAACTTTCAATCTATCATTGCTCTCTTTTGTATCTACGCCACATATTTGAGACAATTAACATTGTTGTATAAGATTATTAAATCGATTTCATTGGTGTCAATTACACATGTACACTAGAAAATTCTAGTATTCATTTTTTTTGTGCCAAATCTCTCAGCTATTTATTACAGGAAACAGTTTTCGTTCAGTCTTTTTTTATGATTTTACCACATTCAACTTCTACTCAAAGGTTCAAATACAATAATCAAAACTACTGTTCAGCAAAAAACTGGAGGATTATAATTAGTGTTTCATCTTACTTTTCTTCTAAGACAACAGATGATCTGTATTTTGATTCTTTCTTTTTTGTTTTTATTTTTCGACGGGTTTTTCTTCCACAGAAGAAATCGAATAACGGCGTCTCTATTCGACTCGACCAACTTTTTGTATACTGAGTTCGGATTTAACTCGGCTTTAGTTTCTGGTGTAGTGTAAAAGTTAAATTTACATCTGTTTTATTGATATATTTTATGAAACAACCTGAAACGTACGTCGAAATGAGTATACTGCTAAGAATTATTGCTATAAGTTCATAGGGTGCTCATGTAAGTATGTTCTGGCATATAGACGCATCTAAATGCTTTTGGAAAATACTTTAAACCGCGTTCAGTTGCATCTACCGAGTACTAAATCACATCAGACAAATCTATTTTATGCTTCATATTTATATGGACAACCTGAGATGCAATAGTGGAGTATTGATGTAAATTTTTCTTTGGCATCGGACAGAATATTGAATGCTTACAGTATCCACTTGAACTGATTTGTGAAATAGTTCCTTCTTTTTGTATCTGTATTTATGTTTAAAAGATTTCGATTTTTTTCTTGAATACTGCTGTATATTTTCATATAAATACAAAACAACTTATTTCTTTTATAAAATCTAAAGTTTTCATTAAGAAATGAATTGCTTGTTTAGCATACACATAGTTCCGCTAGTTTTCCAGTATCGTGAATATGAATAGTCTTTTGTTACGTCTTTTCCTTTTATATCCAGATACATTTGATACCTTATTTACCTTTATAATATTGGAAAATGTGAAGAAATTTCCGTGTTTTTAACTAGTCGGCTATAAAATGAAACAGAATCGTTTTTGTATCATTTTTTCTATGAGTGTATCGAATACTTGAAGACTAGATGAATAAGTAATAATGCAACAAATTAGTTTCTTGTTATCATCATCTATCAAATGTCGTTGAATAGAATCATTCATGGTTGTACCAATATTCAAAAGTAGAAGTAGAAGAGTAGTATATTTCGCCATTTGTTTGTCGTTCTGTCTGTCAAAACTGATTCCTTTTACTATGATGATTGCTCACTCTATGGCCACACTCGTATTCAACTATTGATTCACATTAATACTGATTCGTAGCAAGAAATCTATTGCAACACATTGATATTTGTAGAAATAAACGATTCTTAATAAATATGATTTCTATAATAATAGGTATTCAAAATTTCAATGCAAATACAAAAAATTATGGCTAGAGTAGTAATCGATGATGCTAGCAGATAAACATCATAACCAGTTTGACGTAGTTTATTATCAATGAATGTTATTATGGATAGAGTACCATTGATAAATCCTACGATGATCATGACTAAGGTGATTATGATACTTATTTGTATAACAATAGGTTGATGTCTTATTTCAATCTGTGGCTAACTATGGTAACTTATAATAGCATCAAGTGAAAGATCAAATCCACTTGGACTAAATTGACAACATTTTCCATAAAAACAGATTAGACAAGTACATATTGATATTTGTGAAAAAAGTAAGTCTATCTTGTAAACACTGTGCTCCATTTTCACAATTGCTTTGGCCAAAACAATTGACTAATCGTTGTTGTCCATAATCATTACATAAACAAGCTCGTTGCAAATCCGTTAGCAGATACTTCATGAATCATCGCTTTCGACTACACACTAGACCTTACAACAAACGCGATGTGTGGGTGTAGGTAGGTGTCATATGTATAAATACTAGAGTCTCACTGGCACGGACACGCTTTTACACTCCGCCATGATACTCATGGCTTTATCACATTTCGATCATTTCAATTTTGACACACTATGCGAACAAAATTAATTTGTATTTGTTTGCAACAATCTTTAAACTATGTTCGATAGCACTTGAGTCAAAAGTGTTTGTTTTTGAAATTTTTCTAAGCAAGATAAACAACAAATAATATTTGAGCATTAAAAAATTTGCCTGTTTGTATTACATGCCTTTATTCATATTGATTATTCATCAAATTTGCAGGTGACACAGAGTTTTTTTTAAACTTCGAACTAATGTACCTGACAAATATGTCAGTAAAAAAATTCTGTAACAAACAAAACTTTGAGCCTGAATCGTCTAACTTTTTAGAAATTAGAAGTAAAATACGATTTGTTAACGCACAGATAAAAAAAGAACTCCTCTCTTTCTTAGTTCAATGTAAAGAAGTGATCAGTCCTTCAAACAACCCTGTGATGGATGAAAACCAGTGCTGTGTTTTAGTTAAAAATGTTGATACTTTCCAAGATGAAGGAGCTATTGACTAACTTTTAGGTTACTTATAAACATGCGTTTTTGAAAGAAAGATTCTACCGTTGGATTCAGCAGTTTAGGACATTAAAAAAATAATGATACTGATTGTTATTTTCAAGTTGATACGATTGTTTTTATGTCGAGTTCTAGTTTTCACAATATAGAAGTGTTCGAAAAATGACAAATAACAAGAGTCTTTTCAAGTCATTTTTTGTAGAAAAAAATTCAATGTTGACTTGCGAGTATCAAATCTTCTCACAACAATATGTATATGAGAATTCATGTGTTCAACTTGAATTACGCTGGTTGGTCACTGGTGAGACAAGTAATAATATTCTATTTTTTCTGCATTACTGTTCAGATCAATAAATTGTATATGCTATATTCAGCGTGAAAATGAAATTGAGAGTAGTTTAAGAATACAAACTACCCTGATGCATTTCTTCAGAGATACACGATTCTTCTCATCTAATAAAAAATGCAACAAAAAAAGACGTTTTAACACATTTATCGTCCCAAACGATTGTTTCATATAGTTGAAATACATTAGTCTAGAGATAATGATCAAATTAATATTAGAAAATACTTGATCCTATTATGTTGGTATATACAAGGTTTTTTATCTGCTTCACGATAGAACGGTTGGGAAAAAATGTTTATAAGCAACGCCCAATGCTAGTTTTATCTGATTACATTTTTGTGGGTGTGAGTGTGGGTGGGTGGGTGGGTGTGGCTGAAAGAAAAATAACACGACATTCACCACCATACCTCCACGCCCACACCCACACATCCACACCCACCCACACCCACACCCAACCTGTGTGTTCACTCCCATAGTTATGATAAAACTATGTCTCATTTTTCGAAAGCATCTAGCCATTGACGAGAATGTGAATGTGGATGAGTATCGGAGGGTGTAGGTATGGTTCAATATTAAAATATTCCGTTTTACCAACCGAAACCACATCCACATCCAATAATAGATATATATAGATACTAAAGCAATATCATTACAAGCAAGAAAGGAATTTTATTTTAAAATGAAGCTATTAACGATGGAAAATTGAGAAAAATCTTGCAAGAAAATAAGCGAATACATATAATAATATTCCAAGACCAAATAGACTAGTAATTCCTGATGACATCGTTTCCCAATTTGCAATTTCGAGATATTTTACTAAAAACCATAAAACAAACATCGTTCCACCTATCCCTAGAAGAAAAGAAATATCAAACATTGGACCAAACAAAGTTGATGCTAATCCACTAAGAAATGTAATTATTTGTAATAAATAGAATAGATCTTGATTTCGATGTACTTTGTAATAGAGTCGAGACGATAAAATAAGAAGCCCGATGAAATAAACAGATGTACCGATGAATAATAATGGTCGAGTAAATGGAATAGTCAAGAAATTTACTCTTGTGAAATGTAAAAGACTTCCGATCATTATTAAGAAGAACGACGATAAAGTTCCACTAGGTATGAATTTGTCATTTTTAAATCCAAATGATTCTGTCCATTTTTCTTTTCTAATAATAAAATTAAAGAAAAATTGTAATGCTGCGATAGCTAAATAACCAGCTTCACGATTTTGCTGATACATAGCAACGATAGACCAAGTAAAAAATAATATACACGACATTAATCCTTCAAAAATTATATCTTGACCAAAACGACCACGGTTAAATGTCAGAATTAATGCAGCGAAAAATACCAAACAACCAAGAAAGACTAACCATGAATTATTATTTATAAACATCAAGAAAAAAGCAAGACAATAAAGCAATTTTTCCCAATCATCAACTGAAATATTAGTTAAATTCGGTATGACAAAAACTGCTATAAAAACTAATCCAGCAATAAAAATAATAATTCCAGCTAAAGCAGCGACGACGCAAGGGGGAAAGTGCAGATTTGGAACCCCCAGCACCTCAGCACCTTTTCAGCACCTCAGCACCTTCTCAGCACCTCAGCACCTTCTCAGCACCTCAGCACCTTTTCAGCACCTTCTCAGCACCTTTTTAGCATCTTTTTGATATTGTAACTTAGTTCAATTATTTGCAAATAATTCACAAAAGACTAGTTTTATTTTCAATAACATAGGAGATGTTTTGCTTTAAATACGCATATACACATACAATGTGATAATCTAAGTTTTAATCAAAAATAAGTGTCAAAAATATGTATCAAAAATATTCCATAATACTGATTAGAGCAAAAAAAACTAAGTTCGAGAAAAAAAAACAAAAAAGATGTTATTTATCTCTGGGTTCTTTCACACGTTCTAATGAAGGGGGAAAGTGCAGATTTGGAACTCGCAGCACCTCTGCACCTTCTCATCACCTTTTCAGCAGCTTTGGGTACTAAAGGTGCTGAGGTGCTTATACATTTTGTTCAAACATTAAAGCTCAGTACCTTGACCTTTTACCTTTGACGCCATATGGTATGATAGACTAATGCAAACTTTGATTAGAAGAAATTTACTCTTCAGGGAGTTGTTGGCCCAAACGATTATTATATCAGTTAATAACTTAACAAGCTCTACAAATTGGTCTCA